ATACCAAACACACCACACACATATGCCACATACCTCACACACCACACACACACCATACACCACACTCATGCCACACCACACACATGCCACACATACCACACACACCACACACCACACACATGCCACACACACACCACATGCCACACACATATACCACACCACACACCACACACATGCCACACACACACCACATGCCACACACATATACCACACCACACACCACACACATGCCACACACACCACACATACGCCACACACATACCACACACCACACACCACACACATACCCCCACACACCACACACATACCCCACACACCACACACATACCAAACACACCACACACCTCACACATGCCACACACATACCAAACACCACACATAGCACATAACAAACACCACACACATACCCCCACATACCACACATACCCCACACATCACATACAACACACACCTCACACACCACACTCATGCCACATACATCACACACATACCAAGCACACCACACACCTCACACATGCCACACAGATACCAAACACACCACAGACATATATCACATACCTCACACACCACACACACGCCACACAGCCCCACACACCACACACACACCACACACAACCACATACCCCCCACACCACACACACACTATACACACACACACCATATATCTCACACACCGCACACATACCCCCACATACCACACATGCACACACCACACACACACCACACACATACACCATACACCACATACACATTATACATAGACATCACAAACCACACCACGCACACACACCACTGTTACACATCATACACACTACACATGCCACATACATACTATGCACACACATCACAAACCACACACATATCACACACCACACACGAGCTACACACACCCCCTACCACACACAAACCACACACACACAGATGCCTGACACACGCCTTCTCCGACGCGGACCGTGGAAACAGAATCCGTCCTCCTCGGCTCCCACTGTCTCACACAGGCCCGCGAGTGCCGGGCCGGCGCCACCTCCTCCTCCGCAGGAGAGCTGCGCCCACCTCGGCCTCACGCGTGTGCTCTGGCGGCCAGGGTTTTGAAAAGGCTCCGTCGCTTTCGGGATAAAAACCTCTTCAAAAATGGAAGAAGAGGAAGTCTAAGCAGCCCGTCCTGACTCAAGTGGGGACGGTGACAAGGCGCGTGGGCCAGTGTGCGGGAGAGACCACGCGGGAGGTCTCGTCCCGCCAGGCAATTTGCTGCGTGCGTTTGCCTCATCTGCAAAGGGAGTCAGTTTGCCCAACACATGTGAGAGGCCCCAGGGCAGTGAGGAGCTTCTAGGGCAGGCGTGGATGCGCACGCAGACGCAGACCCCAACTGGGCCACAGGGCAGTGAGGACCGTTCACGACGAGCCCCAAGAAGCCAACGAGCCCCAACAGTGCCAGGGTGTGGGGTGGGCTGGAGGGCTTCCCTGAGGAGGTGGCCGAGGGCGTAGGCATGTGCAA